GGTGGCCTGGCTTGACAACCAGTTTGTGTATTTGTTTTGAGTGGAAGGAGGAGGGGACAAAGGTAAATGCTGTCGCTGTACTGCGAGTCTAGCGTGTGGCAGGAGAGAACAGCCCCCCAGCTTGAAGCTCAGCCCCGCCAAGGCCCAGCCAACTCAGTGGAGCCTTCACCCATGAAATGGATGCCTCTATGAATGGGACCTTATGGTGCCTCGTTCACGGGCCTTCAGTGTTTCAGTGGAATAATACGTGTAAGGCATCTGGCACCCGGTATGTTCCCCAGCCACAAGTTCCTTCCCGACTCTTGTTTGATCTTAAACAGCATCACAAATGGTTTCAAAAAGGGAGGCACAAAGAGAACATCTTCTTAGAGCCGAATGTTGCCAAAAAGACAATTGTGAACCTCGGATTCCCTTTCCTTTGGGGTCTTTTTCTTTACAGTGAATGGGAAATGGCCGTTTTCCCTGTCAGTGTAATGAGGAAGTGGAAATATTGCCTCTCCTCCCTCCCCCGCTGCTTCTGTCTTACAGGAGCCTCCCCCCAGGTACCCGTGGGCCAGCGGCTTCTCACAGAGCTGTGGCTGGATGCTTATGGAGAGGAAAGTGGTTTCTGTGAGATCTGCTGAGTTGTGAGGCTAATATAGTTAGATCCGATAAAAGCACTGATTAGGGTCTTTTGTGTTCCCTCCCCACCCTTCCCTGCTGTTGTGCCTCCCCAGGCCTGCTTCAGGCTGCTGGGAAGGAGCACAGAGACAGCTGAGCCTGGAGCCTCCCAGCCAGCTCTGCGGCCACCCTAGGATGCTGCAGATTGGCCAGCAAGATTCAGGATCCAACCCCTGCCCTGCCACCGGACCGTTCTCTCTTTCCATAGGTCGTCACCCTCCCTGGTATGCCAGGGAGAGAAAAGGGTTGAACTTGGGATCAGAAGTTCCCAAGCTCAAATCCTAGCCCTGGCCTTTTACTACCATGCAAACCTGGACCAGGTACCCTATCCAATCACTGACCAAGGCTTTGGGCTACTTACCTTTGGTATCCAGTTTGCAACCTTAGAGGCTGATTTGGGGAATGACAGAAAACTACAAATAAGGCTTCCACAGGGCACGGAAAAAAGACAATGGTAACGTCCTTTTTAAGCTTCTTTCTGACGTTCTGATTCTATGAAAATACTTGCTGTTACTGGGCATAAGAGCGGTACCAGGATTACTTCTTAAATAAATGAATTCAACTGTGAAGCTGAATATTAGAGGGAACTGGCTCTTTCTAATGAGGCAAGCTAGAGAACCAGGCCCTGTGGTCACAAGGACTCGGCCAATCTTACCGTGCACAGTCGGCTTCTCTTCCATCTAGTGCAGTAGACAGGAAAGAGGGTTGGTCGGCATGTACCAACAGACAGACTTAGTGCCAGGCTGACTTCTGGGCCCTTGCAGTCCCAATAGTTGCTACTTTACCACATCCAAGGGGTGGCAGGCCAAGCTTAGTAAAATCGTGAGTAGGCCTTTCCTTCTGGAGCAAGGCTAAACTGTATTCACAGCGGCCCCTAGTGGCAAACTTCCAAAACAGCATGCTAAATGGAAACTTGGCAACCGAAGGCATCTTCTCAGAATGACCTAGATTCGGAAATTTGGGGCTAACAGGGGACTACTTCTAATCTTCGCTTGATGAATAAGGAAACCAACTTCCAGAGGTTAAGTGCTTCGCCAAAGGTCACACAAAAGCCTCACATCTCTCTGTCTGCAAACTGCCCCCAACTGGCCATCTGTGGTTTCGGAAACAGTTAGGGATCACGAATTACCCATTTGGAAGAACAAAGGAGGACCCAGTTTCTAAAATCAGACCGAGCCAACCTTCAGGTGAGACCCTAACATGTTCTCTTCCCCTGCACTCTGCTTCTCTCTTATCTGTAAAAGAAATGTTGCTGGAAAATCCCTATCCTGGTATTTACCTAGAGTAAGTAACCTACTCTGTGGGCAACAAGGCTCTGAGGCCACAAAGCACTTTGTAGGCAGTAAACTCCACCACTCAAACAAATGTGCTTTTCAATGTTTCCTCCTCCGCACGCTGCAAGAATGTGGTGCCAGAAGGGGCCACAGTGACGTCTCAGATTGGCTCGAGGATCGGGGGGTAGGAATCATTTCCCTTATGCGGGGAAAGCTATTTTGACATCTTCTGGAGACACAGTCCAAAAATAAATCAAGCTGAGGACTTCCAGAGGGCTTAGTGGAAAGGCTTTGCTGCCATGCCAGCTCAAGTCTGGGTTTGGAGATGGGGAGAAGCTATTTCAGCAACTGGATCTTAATCTTTTCCTGACAGAGAACAATTTTAAACTTGATTCATTTAGCAATAACTTCAAAGAATTGCGTAAGGTGCTGAGGGGGCTCCCAGCGGGGAATAAGACGTCTTTTCTCTTGGAGGCTAGCCCAGCAGGAGGGAGAAGCTGTACAAGATACCACAAGGATGAAGAGGCAGGAGAGGGGTGAGGTGGCTTTGAGGGCCACTGGTGATAACAGTAGCTGTTTCCTAAATGCTGGTGCTTTTTCCAGATCACCTGTTCGAGCTCATTTAAATCTTCACAATAACCCTATGAGGTCAGGGCTATTATCCTCATCTTACAGTGGAGGAAACTAAGGCACAGAGAACTTAGCAAACTTGGCCTCCACACCACTGCAGTGTGGTGAAGTTGCGATCAAAACACCAGTCCCAGAGCCCTTTACCTCCAACGTCACAATTGCTGATGACCTCTCCCCTGCATCTTCCATGATGTCTACGGCCTGTACCTTCTGACCCACTCTGGTGCCCACACGGGGACTCAGTGCCGCACACCACGGTCTGACGTCCACGGTGTAGTGAAATGGGAATAAAAGGCAGATGGGCATGGTTTCCAAAAGCTTAATCTCAGCAGCCAAAGCCAGAAGCAGTTAACGCTCATCCTGTGCTCTGAATCTCCACTCTTCCAAGGCCACCACAGATCGAGGATGCAGATCAGGTTATGGCGCTGACTGTCCCATGCATGTGCTTAGGAAAATCTCCCCCAGCCTCAATGTCAGATTGGACAAACATGGCCTCTGGGACCTCACTACTCGGAAGTGTGATGTCTGGACCAGCAGTCACCATCTCCGGGGAGCTGGACAGAAATGCAGAATCTCTGGCCAGATGCTGAATCTGATCTGCTTTCTGGCAGGCTCCCCTGGTGATTCCTGGGTGTGGTGAAGCGTGCTGAGCACACTGTACTCAGGTCCTTCTTTCCCTCGCTGAGTAGTGATGGTCCATTCCCACCACTCCCATGACCTGGGCGAAAACGGGCACTCTCAGGATTATAATTCTGGGAGGCAAACTCTTAGAGGTGGACCCCATGACATCTGCCCAGTCCAGGCCAAGAGAAGTTTCTCCTTCCCCAGAGTCTAGAACAACACTCTGCCCAACACCATCTCTGAAAAGTTAATAAAGTTATTTATGTAGTCTGTTGTTGGTTTTTGCTTTTTTGATGTTGAAAAGAAAGAGAAAGAGAAGAAAAAGAAAAGAAAGAGAAGCATGGAGAAAGAGGCCAAAGGTGGGGAAGGCTTGGGGAACAGAACTTTTTGGTCATTCCCTACAGTAAATCATCATTTCCAAAATGTATGGAGTGACGAGGAAGAAGAGTAAAGCTCCAATCCTCTCTTCCATCAAGGAGCTACCAACTTAAGGAAGCCACATGCATACTACCTCTGGGTCCATAACATGAAGGTGGATTTCCTGCAAGTTCAAGGGATGCTTTAGGTCTCTCAGCACATCCACCTGGCTAATCTATACACTTCCCCCTCACTCAGAAATGCCAGTGGATATCACTTAAATTCTTTCTTAGATACTGCCTTTTTAAAGTCAGACTTGCTCTTGACTAGAAGTCCATTGGAGACCACAAACCTAAAATGTGGAATCTTGAAGACGAGCCTTACAGAACTACTTGAGACGGTTCACATGTTAAAATGGCTGTTACAACCTCATACAGTATTTACAATCAGACCACCGCAGCAATTTCAACCATCAGTGACACTTTATTTTGGAAGTTTCTATGTGTTACATAGGTGTTAACTTCCTTTTTGTTACCAACCCCCATAGAAAAAAATCAGGAAGATTCAAAAAACATATAAAATCTCTTATCCAGTCTCTCTAGCCCTAGGTTAAAAAAAACTTAAGCGGTGCCTCTCCTTCATGACAAGACTGCCTCATAAGGAGAATTCATAGGCTACCCTTCTGCTCACTACACAGTTCTCCTCCTTCCTGGGGAAGAAATGGTCAATGTTTGTTTCCTTCTAATAAATCCCTTTCTCGATTATTACACATTATCATTCCCCACTTGACACCTTCTTAGAAACTTGATTGTTGGATACATTTTTCATTTGGCAAAAGTCCAATGTGGCTTTGTGTGGGATGTCGAAGTGTCAGAAACAGCCGTGTTGATGTTCTAGTTTCGAGAGGGAAAATATATATAGGGAGACGCACACACTCCCTGGAAGAACAAATGTAGGAGACTGAAATAGGGTGTGCACAGAGTTAAGAAGGCTGATAGACACTACTTGGTTTTGGATTCTGTGGCTGTCAGCCACCGAAGCCTGCAGTGTAGGCCAGAATATAAATCTGCGGGAAGAGGTTCGGTTAGGCACTACGAAATGACAGAGCTGGCTTCGTTCTGTTCCAGTGTACCAGAACAGACACGTGCGGGGGGGCGGGGGCAGCATGCCCATTTCCCACAAGCAGTCCCTATGAATGATCACTTATTCACTTATGAGCATTTCTGTAAATGCTGTCAACCTGGGCACCCGGGTAAGAGAAAAGAAGCATCCCATTAAGATATACTTCCAGGGCACCTGGGTGGCTCAGTCAGTGGAGCGCCCGACTCCATTTTGGCTCAGGTCATGATCCCAGGTTCGTAGGATCAAGCCCTGTGTCAAGCTCTGTGCTGAGGGCCACTGGTAATCCCTTCCTTGGGATTCTCTCTCTCTTCCTCTGCCCCTTTCCCCCACTTGTGAGTGTGCTCCCTCTCTCAAATAAAATTTAGAAAAATTATTTTTAAAAAAATAATAAAATAAAAAAAATATATACTTCCATCTCTAACTCACCCAAGACCCTAGGTCTCCTTAGCTCTGTGATTTGCAAGGCCCAAATGAAGTTTAAGTACGTGGCACTCTAGGTCCCGCTGAACCTGGTTCACAAGGGCCATCTCAGAAGACCTGAGCATGCCCAAGACAGCAGCAAGCCTATCCAGAAGGGTACGCCTTAATGATCTTCACATCATCCACCGGGCGGTCCTGGGAGTTCGTCTCCACCATTCCTACTCGGTTCACCATTCCTATACCCTGGCACACACGGCCAAAAATAGTGTGTTTGCCATCGAGCCACTGGGTGGGGGCAAGAGTCACGAAAAACTGGCTGCCGTTGGTGTCTGGCCCTGCATTGGCCATTGCGAGAATTCCAGCCCCTGGTGGGAAAAAGGAAGAAAAGAGTATGAAAACCCCCCAAAGCCCCAGCCTGGAGCGTGTTACACCACCCCAGGCTTTCGTCTGGCCACTGTCATCAACCAGGCAAACAATCTTCCCCTGAGGGCAGGCCCTCTGCCTTTACACAAAGGCCAACATTGCACTACCCCAACAACCTCGTCTTCCTGGTCTCCACCTACTCCCCAGCTTCTCACCAACCGCTGGGCCATGTTCTGTATTCCCCTCAAAATCCCAGCAAGGTCCCCTGCTTCTCTGAGGAACACAGACTTTAGTTATAGTACAGACCTATAGATACATGGTATATAAACAAAACTCCGAGTTTATGCGAGCGACATCCAACAATTAGAGGCTAAACCACTCGGGCCATCAGTGAACTTCTCAGGACCCTGAGAGGCTTCACCTTCTCTAATCCACCAGGGCCCTTTGTGGCGCCACAGCTGGGCAGCGATGTGGCACCATGCCATGGTGGCAGGCACACGGCCTGGGTCGGAGCCAAGGGCAAGCTTTTAAAGTCCACTCCCTCTTCCTACCCGGTCCAGCCGGATTCCATACTTACCCGTGAATTTCAGGTCGGGATGAAGTTCATCTTCAAACTGCTTGCCATAGATGGATGCACCACCCCGACCTGCCGGGTTAGGAGACAAGGGGCCAATTAGCCAGTTCCACACTCTACCTCACAGCAAGAACTACGGCCCAGGGTCTGAAGATTCTTCCAAGTACAGGAAAGGAAAGAGCAGAGAGCACGCCTGGCCCGTGCAAAATACACTGCAACTACAGAGCCCGGCAACAGAATCAAGCACAGACATGGCATTCAAATCACTGGTTTCATTCAGGTAAGAGGTGTCTTTTCAAAATAACACCAAGAGTGTTTTTTCCTGCTTATTAAAGTAATACATGTTCACTGTCAAATGGGCAGAAAGCATAGAACATCATCAAAAGAACATTAAAGTCCCTTATAATCTAACCATCTATAGATTAACTACCATTTATAATTTGTTATCTTAAGAGATTTCATTTTTAACTTTCTTATGAGTATTTTAGACAGGAATGTCCCAGGCCTTAATCCTGTACCTGTCACAGACATTGCTAATCGATCACCATTCCTCCCTGCTGAGCTTCGATCTGCCTCGGTAGCCTACCAACTCAGAACTGTAGGCAGCCATGTTTGGTTTTTTTCAACGTTTTATTTTTGAGAGAGAGAGAGACACAGAGTATGAGCAGGGGAGGAGCAGAGAGAGAAAGAGAGAGAGAGAGAGAGGGAGATGCAGAATCCGAAGCAGGCTCCAGGCTCCGAGCTGTCAGCACGGAGCCTTACATGGGGCTCGAACTCATGACCCATGAGATTATGACCTGAGCTGAAGTCAGAGGCTTAACTGACTGAGCCACCCAGGCACCCCAGCAGCCATGTTTAAGGGATCAGAGAGGGCACAAGAATTAAAGAGCTACTTGCTGTCCTTAACCTAGATGAAGGAAAATAACATTCATTTAAGTCAAAGATACCCAGCCTAAGGAAAGTAGGGTGAAAGTGGCAACGTGAGAGAAAGGAATAATACCACAGCAGGCAGGGTCCGTGGAGAGGAACGGTGGTGCATCACAAGATTATTATGAAGAGACACGAAATTAGGAAAGATTCGCTAGCAACATCCCCACCACATGCCATTTATATTATGTCCCCAAGAGTGTGGTGCTGTGTACCCAGGTTCTGTTCTTAGGACAAAATGATATAATAAATGTGGTTTTCCCAAAGGAAAAAAAAATGTCCTTAGAGGAGGCAACGCGTCTAATCAACTATTTAGCAAAAATATACGACTCGTTGAACTACTTTGGTTTCTCCAAGTTGACCAACGAAGACAAAACAGCCTGGAACAGAGTGAACATAGGTTATCAGCTTATTCTGCTGGCCTGGGGCCAGAGAACAGCCCAGACACCGGGAGCACGCCCCCTTTTACACCTTGCCCTGAGAGCAGGATGTTACAGCACCATGTTCCTCCCAGCCCCTGGGGCCCTGCTACCACGTTTCCATGGAGAAAATCCGCTGCGGTACCTTTTAGGACGTTCCCCCCACTGGGAGCCTGTCACAGCCCTTGGTTCTGGAAGACCACACTTCTTGTGCAAAGAGGGATAGGGGTGGATCCTAACAGACTTAGGGAAACCTTCCCCCAGGCCCAGGCGACCTAGGCTTCTGGAAAAATACCTAGCTACCGAACTTTGTAAAAATTTGTCCTAAAATTCCAACCTGTCAGTATACTTCTAAAAGAGCAATCATGTGACCAATACATTATCTCAGACTCCCGAGGCAAGGTTCCTGCCTGAGGCTGGGGGTGGCGGGGGTGGTTAGTGCTAGGGCTGAATATGAAAGATAAGGCCATTGGGGCAAACTGTGGTGAAGCCCTAAATCCAGGGCTTGAGTGAGCAAATGGAGGGTGAAGTTCAGTAGTGGGCTGTTCATCGCAGGCTGAGCCTCAGTCATGTGGTCCCTGCAAGCTGAGGGCCGCCAGGACGAAATCTCAGGGCCCCTGCCCTGCAGGAACTGAAAGCCATCGTGTAAATGGCACCGAGAACACTAAGAGGGATAAGGGATGGGCCAGTCAAGAGTCACAGAGGAAGCCAGGGGTTTTAGGGCATTAGGAGAAGAGAGGAAAGAGCATGGAAGCCCACCTGTACTCACTGGGCATAGTTTGACCAGTTGCAACTAGTTTGGGCTCTACAGCACCATTTATGCATCAGATGTTATCTTTTCATAATCGAATTCAACCCAGTAGGGTTTGCAACAAAATGTCAGAAAGACAGAGAATTCCAATCAAAACATTCCTCTGGGCATGTGGAATAGGGGAAAGACGGTAGGGGGACAGCCGTGATTAAGGAGTTTTCTGGTGCAGAGCAGGCTACCCAGATGCGCGATCGCTTACAGAGCGGACGATTTGGAAGCTCTGCAGTCAGAACGCTGCTGTGTGCCTCGTCTAGCACAGATCCGATGGAGACGGGCGTTGATCAGTTTTGTAAATTCTGTATTCTGGAAGTTCTTTTCCTCTTCTGTCTCTTCAACACTTATTCAAGGTATTTACTATCTCAGATGTACAAGAGACAAGGACTAATGTGACAAACAATCGCACCCTCCCTCAGGACGAGTGAAGCCAATCCCATCAAGGACCCCATGTACCCACTCCCTGCCCTCAGCACCTGCCTCCCCCCCCTACCAGCCCACAACTGCTTCAAAGAATCAACCACTGTGCCAGCCAGGAGTCTGTCCCTTCTGTGCATTTTCCTCTTTGCAACCTAGGTATGCATCCCTAAAACAATGTACCGCTGCTCTGCATATTTCTCAGTTTATACAAATGGTATTATACTCCATGTATTCTTCTGCCATTAGCTCTTCTTTGTTCGCCGCTGTAAGTGATACTGACCCATTCCGTTCGGCGCGGCTCTCTGGAGCATTCGTTCCGACTGTGAGTGTGACACCAATCTCCTCTTGCCTCGTGTCCATGGGCGTCTGGGATCCTCCTGCTCATGGTTTTGCTGTCGTAAACCGCACTGCAGTGACCGTTCTTGGCTTCTCTCAGACACGTGCGGGGGCTCTCAGGGCTACGCCGCGTGGAGGACAGGGAGGGTCGCGGTCTGAGCACTTCCCCGGTCCCAGATTTCCCTGAAACAGCTTGCCCAAGTGGCCCCAACGTGCACCCCCCACTCCGTGCTCACTCTTACTGCCCTAGGTGCTCTAGCCAGAGGTTCTAACACTCCTCAGTCGGAGAGGCATCCGTCCCATCTCTTGGGTTTTAACCTGCATTTCCTCGAAGGTGTGCATAACGTCTTGTTTACTGGCTATTTAGCTGTCCTCCTTCGTGAACTTACCTAAGTGGTTTGACATTCCTATACGTAAATATATATGTAATTCATACATATAAATTATATACGTATAACTTGTACATTATTAGGATTAGTATTTTGGACACTAACCCTTGGTCAGTTAATGCTTTTACAAATACTTTCTTCCAGTGGATGAAATTTTATCATTCTTCTATGAGGTCTTCTGCTGCACAAAAATTTTTGCAGTTGAAATTCCTCGATTGTTTTCTTTACGACCTGTCTTTCTGCTTTAAAAAATCTTTCCTTATTCCCAAGACCTCTCTGATGTCTCTTCTTGCCCACGGCCTGGCAGAAGACCCCACAGTGAACTGGAGTGGCATCAAAGACAGAACGGTCTGACCCCACGTGGTGCTACTTACCCCATGGCTCCTGTGGCACAGCCTGACCGGACCAGCCCCAAAGCAGCACAGGCGAGCCAGTGACCCGTTAAGAGGCCTATGTGAAAGCTCTGCCTGGGGCACTTGACATCAGGAGGCAAGTGACCAAACCCAGCAAAACCTCTCTTCTGGCAAGAGAACATCCAGCAGCGGGTTAGCTGCTCTCTGAGCATTTCCCACTCTTTCTCCACAGCCTACTTCAGCCTCAGGGACATGAAGGGCAGTACTGACCAGTGCCTTTTGCGGCTCGGGGTGGTCAGGTGATCCGGTTCTGATTTACTGATATAAACAGAAGCCTGCTAAGCAGAGTGTCTGGGAAAGCTATAGTTCTCCTGATAAAAAGGGACAAACACGTCCTCTGTCTTTCACCCAGAGTTCGTTCCCCATCTTCCTTCTTTGAAAGCAGAGGCAGTGCCAGGAGCAGCGGCAGCCATGTTGCAAGCGTAAGACAAGGCTGAGATCCGAGGCCAACACACCAGGGATGATGGAATGGAAAGAGAGTAAGCTGACGACCTGCCCGGCAGCTGAAGCAGGGTCTACAACTGCTTACCTTTAGCCATTTTGTTCTGCGAGAAAAACGAAAGCTCTCTGTTTAAGCCAGTGCAACTGAGTTCTCCGTTACACGCAGCCCAAAGCATCCCAAACGGATACGATCGCTGTCAGTAAGAGAGTCTCTGGAAGAGGGGGCGAACTGGTGGAGCGGCTGCTGGCTGCCAGGGCAAACGCCAGACAGCAGATCTAACGTGGGAAACAGTGCTATGTGTCTCCAAGAAGCACTGAGGTTCCTCTCTTCCTCGCCTGCCTCTGGGGCCAGAGAGATCCAGACTTCCATCCCAGCTCCACCACCTACTGGCTGTGCAGCCTTAAGCAAGATACTCACCCTCTCTAAGCCTCAGTGTCCTTGTCTGAAAAACAGGAATCGTAGTAGTTCCTCTGTCTCACAGGACTGTTATAGGAACTGAGTAAGACCGGGCTCAGAACCCACATAGTGGAAAGCATGAGGCAAACCCAGTACGGTCAGGGATGACGAGCAATCTTTAACAGAGGTAACGTGGGCATTTTCCTATGAGAGGCAACTGCAGGGAGTGATTAACACCTCACCTTGGGAGCCAGCCTGCCTGGGTTTTTGCAGCTCCTCGCTCGGCAAACTTCTGCCACTCCCTCACTGCTCCTTGCTCTGAGTGTCATTTTGCTGAGTTCAATGACACAAAAGGCAAAGGAGAACTTTCGTGTGCTCTCACAACCAAACCCACTCTCCTTCCCTTCCTTCTTCCCTTACAAATGCACTGTACGAATAAACTGTTCCTGGGACTCTACCACCACCACATACCTCATCGATCCCATTCACCTTTATGGAACTTTGCAACTACAATCCCTCCCTCTC